TACGTAACTGCGACTTACCATTCCCAGTCCATTTCTGCGATCGCAATTCTTGCGACGGGAATGTGTATCGGAAGTGAGAAGCGCTACTTTTCTGAAACACAGAGCGATTTCTCATCGCTCTCGGCATTTTTCATCGCCTCCAAATTCACAGGTTTCTTGACTCGCTGGTATTTCGAGTAGTCGGATTCTTGGTGTACTCTTTCTCAAATTAATCACGGGATAGTTTGCGAATAATTCGGTCGCTTCGTTTTTAGGTCGCTACGTTGTTGTTCATCTCACGGCACGAATCTTCATGATGAGATTGGCTTCGTACATCCCTTATTCGCGCGAGGACAATTACCCTATCGAATTTATCGAGCAATTTCGCGAACGGCGCTCGTTTTGTTCCACCCGACCGTTTGTGTCTCTCATCTCCATTCCACTCATCTGTTCTCCACATGTGTTGGAAGATGCTGGACAGAGAACGAGGCAAGAGGAATGGCACAAACGATCAGCTTCAAGAAAATTACGTTTGCGAGCAATTCCCAGATTCGAGAAAATTGTACGAAAACGAAAATTTAGCTGTGAAATCAAATGAAGAGCGAGGAACGAAGCGCGACTAACGAATCTAGCGAAGACCGAAACGAATAGGACAAACCGCGAGAGCGAAAACACCGAATAGGGGGGTTGCCGCCCTTCGGTCGTTTGCTGTAGTATCGCCGTAGCGATCCCGCAGACAATCCGTAAGGGCTTAGCACTGTTTCAACAAGGGATTACCAGCGCGTCCCTAAGCCGGGCGATACGCGATCCTGCGGAGCTGCGCGTCGGGGACAAACATTTAAATTGCCAAGATTACGCCAAGTGGTTGCGTCGCGAACGGAGACGTAACCCCGTCCGAGAGAGATGTGCAATCGGTGCACATGTTAGATTTCGTTAGCGATATTTATCCTTTATTTTACCTTAGTTTCTGCTTTATCGGAGAGGCAACATTCGTCTGAAAGGTGAGGTGGCTGAAGTAAATGGCTCAAGTATATACGGAGGAGGTACGAAGAAAAAGTACGTGTCCTGGTTGGTGGTGTGTATCGATTCAGTCGGGGGTTTCAGCTTTATCGCCTCCTACATCGGACGGTCCCTGACGTGTCCCAAAATAGGACAGAGAAGGGGACGCGAAAGAACGGAAACGCGAAGGAAGGTAGGAAGCGTAACTAGGATCCTTTGTATCGCCTCTCGCGTGTCGACGAAAAATATTTTCTTTTTACGCTAGACGCGAGCACGAGGCTCTCTTTCCCGGGCCTGTGGCACGAGGAGAATCGTGAGCAAAACGACCACCCTCCCTCAACCGCTTTCTCTCCTGTCCGCAGGGATTCATAAGAAAAGTTACGTACTTTGGGGCGGAGACATCCCTCTCTCGGAAAAGCTCCGGCTCGGTTTAGCTTTCGATCCGCTCGTTCGAGTAAACGCTCCTCGGCTTCCTGGGATCAGCGCTTTTCTTCTTCTCGCGTGTCCTTTGGAAAACTTTTTCTTTCTGCTTAGTTGTTCAGTTGGCAGTTCTAGTCATGGAGGAGACACACACGAATACACAAATATTCTTCAATTTTATCCCCATCGAAGATTTTTTCTCTCTCTCTCTCTCTCTCGATAGTTGTGGCGCAAAAGAAGACCGCCGACTCGCTCCTATATCCTCTAATATGTATTTCGTTCCGTGCCGCAATTTTGCGAAGTAACCAGTAAAATTATAACGTGTTCGCCCAGTTTCTGGGATATACTCGCGAGTGGACGCCGCCGCGCGAGCGTCGAATGGGCGAGAGCTTACGGTCGTAAAAGTTTATCGCTTTTCCTTTCCGTATTTCACTCCTTTCCCAGCTTCTCGAGGGGATGAGACTTTGTCGCTTCTCCGCAAAGAGGATCCCTCCTGAGTCCCGACACGCGGCCATTTGCACGTGCTCACGATATTTCTGCCTGATATCCACCTGCTTCCATCCTATCTCTTTATGCCTCTCTCTTGTTTACAGACGATACATCTACTTTAACATCTAGTTTTACGATCATCACGAGCATCGTGTCACTTTCTTTGACGCATTTTCGGTATGTATGAATTTATATCCGATGACGCCGGGAAAAGTCGGCGAATGTTCAGTTTATGATCGTCACTTTCGACGACCTTGACCTTGATAGGTCGTGGAGGCGATGGAAGGTAATCGAAAAGATTTTAGTTACAATCTTTGCCCACATACAACACGACATTTATTGCCGTCTCCATTGTTAATCTTGATGAAGATTACGACTTTGAGTAACGTTTGAAAGGTTTCAGTTGGCGATTGTTGTTTATTAAAAAATTATCAATAGATCGAGAACCTCTTAACGTATGAGACTCTTATGTAATTGTACAGCCCCTTTCACAGTGATATAAGTAGGTGGGGTTAGGTCAGATTTAATACGCGGTGGTGGACAAACCATGCATAGGGGCCTTTGCTAATCTTTTCAAGATTCCAATATAGAGACTAGACTCGTCAATTTGGTAAGACGAAAGATTTCGTAGATTTCTTTTACGTAATCGATAACATTTTATTTATTTATATACGTGTACAACTTTTCAGCGAGATTATAATTTACTTGAACAGTAATAAATTCTGTTACGTACAAAAATCGTAAAATAGTAACGAATCTTTATTTGTTAATAAATAATAATGATAAATAATTTTTTAATAAATAATAACCGCCGACCTTTTGAATTTTCAATTTTCGTCACCTTTACAACATACGTCAAGATCAAGGTCATCAGAGAGAGATAGGGACTATAAACAGAATATTTACCCCTCTGTAAATTGCGAACGACGCGCGACGCGACCGATTAATTTCGAGCGTTTGTAATTCGAATTGAATTTATCGCTGCGGAAACTGTGACCCTTAACGAACGAACGGACGGACGGACGATCGGACAAGCAAAGCAACGAACGAACGCACGCACGCACGCACGCACGCACGCACGAATGAACCAATGGGAACGAATGAAGCCGGCAGGGCCGGCTTGCGGATGAATAATGGAGACCCCAATGAGATTTTCCAGTTCGCCGCGGGGCACCGTAATATTAGCTTACCGTCACCATCGCGACTCCGTCGTCGAAACGACGACGACAACCCGAGCCGAGGTTTTAGGTTCGGCCACCCCCGCGTGGTTACGTTTTCGTACCTTTGTCACTACGAGGCCGTCTATTAACCGAGTACAAACGCAACAGAAAATATCAAGTTTAAAGAGGATATGCGTGGCAAAGGTATGGTAAAGACGAATGTTACGTACACACAAGTGGATTAATGGGACGCTACATACGATACGTATGTCCTCGGCTGTTGCTTCGATGCAAAATATTGTTATTTCTATTCTCGATGAGATATTATTACGTCGCAACGGGACGGTATGTCATCCTGATGCGAAACGCGGATAATACATTCCCATCGATCAGATGAATACTGAGATAGCGAGTGAGAGGGAAAGCAAGATCGAAGGAGCGGCAATTCGCGCGGCAGTCGCGAGAAAATTGCTTTCGGCCTGGCACTTTCGCGACACTTTGCCCAAGGGTGGTGCGGTAGGCTCGTCGCATCGGCGAGAGGTCGACTCTTAAAGAAACGAGAAACGAAAATGTATTTGCCGGATGTATGCTAGCAAATCGAAAACCTGAGAAGGCGATTGTGCGATCGAGTCCCGAGCGTAGTATTGAGCGTTTCCCGCTCAATACTGAATAGGCTGCTCGGCTAAATTAGAAAAATTATGTTGGGGTGAGAAGGAGGGACGCGCGCGTGAAAAAGAACAGGATGCTTTTAGAGTGGAAACGAGGAAATATCTGTCGGAGATTCATCAATTGCCGAGGGAAGAATTATCGCTTGGTGCGAGAAAAGCAGTTCTCGCGAAGATGCAAAATGCAAAAAAAAAAACCAACTATTTGGATTCGAGTAGAACGCAACGTTATTCGCACGTTTCGATCACGATTCATCTCAGCAACTGCACGTATAACGTAACTCTCTCTGTGTGTCACCCTTCTTGTCCTCATTCCTTCGCCAATATTTGCATTGTTCCGGTACAGTCCGGGGACCCTTATGTCCGTCCCTTTACACCGGTGCGTTGCGAGAGAGAGAGAGAGAGAGAGAGAGAGAGGCGGAGGAGGCGGAGAGGAGGCGCGCGCCGGGCCCTCGTAAATCCATTTATTTATTTATTTATGTGCCACGGGGAGGCTCGGGCTAAGGGGGTGCGAGGCGCGGCTTATAGCCGGCGCATGCATCGAACCGGGAATCCCACGGGAGCGGTCGGATGAGGGGATGGCAAAAGTCATGGAGAATGCGCGCTTGGATATTCGACTCAGTTGGTCTCTCCGACACAGTGTGCTTCTCGGAATATATCCAGTGTTTATTTATCGTACATTTAAAATGATACGATGCAACGATCGAAACACGAGATCGTATCGGTAAAGTCTAATTGAGAATTGTCTTAGCGATTTAGCGGCACAGTTTCACCGTTAAGTACTTGGACAAATTACAACAATGTCTTTTTTGAACTTGATTAAGCAACGTTATAAATAAACGTATACTCTGTCGTTTTAGAGAGATATTGCTTTAGAGAGACATTGCTCGCCGGAGACGTACAGATCCATACGCTTCGTATCGCGATCGATAAAGGCGATGAGGGGAGGGGGGTATAGCCTCTGTACATGGCGGGGATGTAAATTCTCCCGAGGCATCACGGCTTGAAACGAAAATGGTGTTGTGCCACTTAGATGCGGGGAGGATCTCTCCCGCTCGATCCCTATGACCGTGACACATCGCGGCTTTTTTTTTTTTTTCTTCCCTTTGCGATGGCGCAAGATAGACCCTCATTTTAAAGCGACGTTCGTATTACCGAGAGAACCGGTGTTCTCTCTTAGCGTTATGTCCTGCGTTACGTTGAGACCTTTCTATAGATACGGAAGGACACTGGTGATCGTTTACATTATTTCTCATAGACATTCTGCAGAATATCAGATATTACTCACCCAATTTCCCGTCTTCTGTCTACGTTCCAAGAGACGTTGCTGGAGTTTCGGTCCAGGCCCCGAGAGAAAGGCTCTCACTAAGCTCCGAGTCCTTTCTAAATGATGCGGCGCGATCACTTCGACCTGCGCCAAGTATTTTTGCATGGTCGTCTCTAGATCCGAGACGGGAAGGCTCGGTAGAGTTTCCTCCTTTTTCTGCAAATTGAAAGAGATACAGAAATAGAATAATTACCGCGAGTGGCAGGGTAGTTAGCGAATATTTAAATATTTTCTTACATAGAAATATCAATTTTTTTCTTTTAACCTGATATCTTTCGATAGTTTTATCAGTTTAGAGCTGCCAGAGAAAAAAAATACACACACGTGTGCTACCATCGTGCTATACTTTCTAACAATCGGTGCCTAGGAAAAAAATAATGGGAAATGTAATATGCGAAGAAACGATTTGTCCGTTTAACACAGTTTAACGGTGCTATTGTTACGTGACGATTGCGACGCGAATTGAAGCGCAATTGACCATGGTAGGCTATGTGGAGAATATTATACAGCTCGGGTGGATTTGAGTAGACGCGCAAAGTATAAGTGTCACTACTGATTGATTTGAATAATCGGCTGATCGAAAAAAAAAAGTTAATTGTACGGACGATCGGAAAGTAGTCGTTTAAGAGAGAAACCGAAATGGATAGTTGAAAGGACAGGAGTTAAGTGTCAAGCGAGCATGGGTACCTAAAAGTGTCTCTTTCATTGCACTCGATTCAAAAGACTGTGTTCGGCGGAAGATTCTTGTGACTCACGTTCTGGTACGTTTAAAAAAATAAAAAGACTGAAAGGGTTTATTTTACGATGGCACCTGCGACACACAAGTCAAGAGCAGTGTCTCTGCAGTTTCTACCCGTTGTCAATGTACTTCGTAATTATAAACGTGTTTGCTCAACGTATACCTTTGATTATGCTGTGAGAACTATAGTCTTGATACGAAATATTTAATATAAAATTGTATCCAGAGTCCGCGTAACAGGACATAACACTATGTACTTATGATCACTGATAACATGCAGCGTGGCGCATCCAAGATGCGAAATCGCCGGAAACGAATAAGCGAGGTGGAAAACGATGACACGGGTCAACCGGAAATTGGTAGACGGAAGGGTCACGGGACTTGGCGTCTCGAGCTTGCTCTACGCCCTACGTGTATTCGTTGCCCTTTACGGGGCCACGGCGATTGTAAAATAAAGAATCAATCGAGAAACGAAGCGTGCCTGGCGGTCTAAGGGCCCTTAAGGCTAGTACGGTTGGTTGAGCCGAATCCCCTTTTGCAGGCCTAACAAGACCAACTTTGCGATCCGAACACCCTCGTCTTTCGGCTCGAGTGTTTCCGGCGAGCTTGCGCTGGTGCGAGCAGGAAGTAAAGTGAGAGAACGAGAGCGAGAGACGCTCTGTATAATAGACTTTATTCCCTTTTCGCTACATTCGCGTGTTTATAGACTCATTAGCCCTTGAGGCGACCGTTTTCGCGTAGGTGACGTCCTTTTTAGACTTGTAGATACGTAATCGAGTTTACATATCTACAATAGCTATTATCACGCTAGCAGATTATTGTCTCGAGCAGTACTAAATTCCATTCTGAAATCTTAAAGACTACCTACTTCTTTTAATCTTTATTAGTTTCAAAAATAATCTATATCCTGAAACCTCCGCACTCTTGACGCACGTTCACATTTATAGACATCAAGAAACTTGTCTTCTGTTTCTAGATTAGGAAAATATTATTTTCCGTAATGTATGTATGTAACATTTTTGTTCATGTAAACGCGCAACACTTGATCACAGCGTTGTGTTTCGTTGTAGCGAGGTCGCGTGAAAATTTCCAAAACTACTCGTAACGTATGTGATCGATGCTAGATTTACAAAAAAACTCCTCGTAAATAGAATGCTGTCGTTTTCAGAGGCGTGTCAAGAGACTCGTAGCGACGCAAGCTTCCCGGCGCGCGAATGTCGCGATCAAAGGTCTCCAGACACGCAAAGTCTCCAACTGAGCAGAAAGCGATTTCGGAAACGAAGATCGAGAAGATTCCAAAGAGAGACCCTCCCCCTCCCCCTCTCCCGGGTGCGAGTCGGGAGTGTGTTAGGTCGTTAGCGGAGTTTCGAGCGGTGCATAGCAATGAGGCTTGAAAAGGGGGCGAAAACCTCCTGGGAATCCGGACACCCGTTATATGGAAGGCGGAATGAAGCAAAGGGCGTGCGTAGCGCGGAGGTGGGACTGGCAGGACTGACTCATACCGCGCGCGGGATAATCGAACTCGTTAAGATCGTTGCCCGGACTCGTTTCGTGCGTGGATCGCCGCGTATCGTCATTTTCCAGATTTTGCCCATCGACGGTATCGGCGGATCGGGTTTAGTGCGATTCGTTTTCGATCTTGCATGGCCGTGACTGCTTTCGTGAAAGAATCAGAGAGAGAGAGGTAGGGGGTACTCGATACATCGAGTACGATCTATGGGGAGAAGGTGCGCGTGGCAAGCACAGCGGTGATGAAAGATAGTCACATCCTGCCGAATAATCCTGCGGAAGAGTCAGTTTCGACACGGTCCGCGAAACAAATGCGGGGTCGACTCGTGGCGCTCCTTATCGATGCAAAACAGCGCGGAGGGTCGTAGTAATTAAGAGATAACAAGGTTTCCTCCCCTCGGTGCCCCTCCAATTAGTAACACCCCCGCTGCAGTGTGCCAGCCTCGGAACAACCATCCCCCGGGCTCCCTTCGCCGCAGTCGACTACCCCGGGCAGTGCTCCCCTCCGCAGTCTTTCTCGCGGTCTAGTCCCTGTTTGCATACCGCAACGGAGTCCACCAGAAACTCCCACGGTCATCTCAAGTACGAATAATTCAGAAATATTTTTTCAACCTTGTGCATCAAGAAGCATGGACTGTGGAAAATTAATCAGTCGATAACTCGTCGAGAGAAATTTGTCTCGCAACGCTGAACAAATGATACACTCCAACCAGTCGTTATCCGGAGTAGAAAAGGAAGAGGCCGCCACGACGAGCGAGGGAAAGGGAGGATAGGCAATTATTTCGAATTCAGTACGTTCGAATGGCAACCACGTCCGATTGATTATTATCGAATCGAGCAAACGAGGGTGCTTGATCGAAGGCAGTCGAGCGCGTTCAGACTCGGACACTCGGATTGGGATCGCGTCGGCGATCGTCGTAAACATACGTGTGCAGTGATCGTTAGGCCGATCCTAATGGGAGAATTGCCGCTTCTATTTTAGCTGCTTATACGGTAACTATATTTTCCACTCATCTTCCGGTAGGTATAGGCGCCGCGCCGCGACGAGGTAGCTTTTCAAGGGGTGCACAAGTTTGCGCCAATTTCTCCGGCGGAATGACGATCAAAGTCCGATTACGCGCTACAGATAAGACGCGATGAAGATTCCGCTCGGCGAGATCCCGTTCACGGAACGGGAGAAAGGAACGCCGAGGGCGAGCCCTGCCGGCGTTCTCTTTAACGCTCCTTCTTTCCTCGTTAGTGCGATTCTCTCGCAACTTAATGACATTTGCGAGCCGACTGCGCCAGCGTTTCGCATCGACTCTAGTGTAGCTTATACATTCGTACAGGACGTGTACCCAGGTCCCTCTTCCATCTGTGCACATTTGCGCTAATCTTGCGAGTCATACTTTCTTTAGATTCGATTATTATACCGTGAGATGACTCGTCTATTTGGGATACTTTTCGCACGTACGGATATACGGGAGGAGGAATGGCTCGGAACACTGATTTCACAAAGAATTGAACATGTAGTTAGGCACATGCTTCGACATGCAGTAGTAAAAAAATTTACAAGGGGTGGAACGTCGTCGCATGGCAGCCATGACGCTTCCAGCGCAACGTAAACAGTGGCAAACCGAGCAAATTGGCAAACAGTTGGGGATGTGCAACCGTGCGAAGCAATTACGGATTTTGCGTGAACTACGCGTACAGACTCTTTGTGCGTGAGTGAAGGGCGCGGAGAGAGTTTTTCTGCCTAGCCACAGTGGCGTAACCACTCGGCCGTTTTTAAGGCGAATTAGAATTTACAAAAGTTTGTTTGTTAAACAATTTACGGAAATAATACAAATAGTCAAGCGTATATTTGTCGCAGAACGCCTCGAGGAAGCCTTGTTTTTAATTCCAGGTTTTCTCAATTATCCGAATGTTTTTTCTACTCTCGCATTTTCTACTTTCCATTGTTTCTTTGCAAACATTTTCTTCAGCTTGAAGAACTACAGTTTCCAAAATACTGCTCAACGTGTTGTTAACAATTGGAAATTGTAAATTGCTTTCACGCAGAGCTTTCACGCGCGCCCAACATGGAGTATATGTAAAAAAAAAAAAAAAAACTATAAAGAAACTATAATAAAGAAAAAGAAAGAAAGGAGGAGAAAATAAAGCTTCTCGCAATCTTTGGACTCCTTTCTCGCGATCGATGGTACGTTTACGCCATTGGCTCGAGTTTGAACCTCGTTTGAACCAGGAACGGGCGAACAGTAATTGAAGAGCGAGGCGGGGATTACGCTCGCGTTTCTAATGAGGCGGCCGAGAACTTGACCCCCATGGAAGAATACCTCGCACCCCCGACAAATTTGTCTCTTCGGTCTGCATCGGCGGGTACGACAATGATGACGATGACGACGCTGAACTTCAGCACACACGAGACCGAAGATATTTCCGACCTTGAAGAGAAAAAAAGTAGTTTGCGTTCCTCGACGTCGCGCAATCTCGTGTCACATTACGTTCGAGTCACGCAGGTTCGCGTGTAACCTCTTTTTCGCGTAGCTTCTCGATTTTTATTTACGGCAACCAGGGACGTGTGGACGCAACGACGCGACACACGGAATGCGAAATTTTGACCTATGTCGATCTAAGATTGTATCGAGAAGCGCAGTATTGGCTGTTATACCGACAATAATGCGCTAAGAATTCGGGCAAGCAATTCGACTTTATACTCGACTGAAAATATAAATTTCCGTACAATTTAGCTGTCGGAGAGTAATTTTGCGAGCAATTAAGAATGAAGAAGATACAGCTTGTCGAGAGAAAGAGGGAAAGTTACTAGATAAAGGTGGTAGAGCCCACCCTTCAATTATACCGGCGTTTTTATGGCAGCCGGTTTGGCTTACACCATTAGCAACCCGATATCGACGATACGCGCGGGAAG